GCGCCGTGCGAGGGTACTAATTCCCCCCGGCTATTTACACCCGGGGAAACGAAAGCATTAGCAAAGTCTAAAGTTCATCAAATATCGCGGGCGTGGGTCACTGTGCGTGTTTCGGTGGGTGGTCATCCTCACTGATCTCATAATATAGCGGACTGTAATGAATAGCCAACACTGATTGGTCCAATTTAAAATTGGCATTATAACGGCTGAATGACGATTGACGACAGCGAAATTGATTTGATGATTTCTTGCAAATATATTTCATTTTTGCAAGATTTTGTAAATTGCAAAGGATTTTTGATGAAATAAAGGCAAGAGGATTGCTAGAAGAAGGAAGTAAAGGTGCCGACGTTAACGAAGCTAAGTTTGTTTTAAATATTGATGCATTGTTTGCTTTTAATATACTGTAATCTCGGCTGTAATTACTTTAAAAGCCGATCGTTGCGTATATAAAATATGAAACAAGACAGCGTATTATTTCAGTGTTTCTTTATTGATTACACTTTTTATTATACTAAGCAAAGTTATTTGCATGGGAGAATTTGGAATCATTTTATTTCGAACTCAAAGTTTATCGATAAAGGCAGTTTTGTTCTATAGTAAAAGAACATTTTAAAACGTTTTGCGAAGCGTTTGTGGTTGAATTTTACCTTAAATTCAAGCTTATATTACGTATAATAACATACCTAACATATATATGTTTAGGAAATTAATAACTTTGTAATTAAAAGTGATATTTATAGGGGATTTTTCATTTGTAAAAATATTCCTAAAAAATTATCGTGTTACCTTGACAACTACTTAAAATACTTCACGTTCGGAAAATAATAAATGGTTTTGTCTGCAAGGCGAGGGTTTCTGCATGCATGTATTTTCTAGTATTTTCATTTGAAGGGGTTACCTTATACCTGAAGCAAAATATAATTGCCTTGATAGCACCAAGTCTACTACATGCTCGTTCAAGATAAACTTGTTTCCACGACACTGAATTTTCACTTTTTCTGAGTGGTGGCTTGGGTCCCTCACTGGTGCACTTCCTAAATTAAGGCTTCCTGGGATTTTTGAATTATATTTTGAATGACGGCAGTATAATACCAGATTTGCGGATAAAACGATGTCTATTTTATAGTTATTTACGATGGCCGAGGAGGGCCACTTCTGACTTCTGACTTCCGACTTCCGAGTTCTGACTTCTGAGTTTGACTTCTGACTTCTGAGTTCCGACTTCTGACTTCTGAGTTCCGACTTCTGACTTCTTCTGCCTCCGACTTTTGACTTCTTCTGCCTTTCCAGCTAAACACGGCAAATCCAAACCGATTGCTTCGATTGTGCATTAATTTTGCTGATGACGTCTAAATATACCATAATTTTCTTATCCAGAATTTCCGAATTCATTATTTTATTTCATTTTTTCAATTTTATGTTGCCGTGTTTCCAACAGTATTTTCATTCTTTGTTAGCAATACTTATTTTGATATCGTTATTTTCGATAATTTAGTATAAAAAAGACTATGTTCAACGAGATATTCTCTACACCATTGCGATTTCACTGTCTCAACGGTTTAAATTTAGCTGTAGGGAACAATTAAATTGGATAATTAAAATTTAACATTTACATAACTTATTTCTAAAATTTAGCTCAAGAACTTTCCAAAAGTCCCGAATTCCGACAGGCTGACTTCTATACGATGGCCGAGGAGGGCCACATGACCGAGGAGGGCCACTTCTGACTTCCGAGTTCTGACTTCCGAGTTCCGACTTCCGACTTCTGACTTCCAACTTCTGAGTTCCGACTTCTGACTTCCGACTTCTGACGTCTGACTTCCCACTTCTGACTTCCGACTTCCAATTTTCTGATTTCCGACTTCTGACTTCTGACTTCCGACTTCTGAGTTCGGACTTCTTTACTCCGTTATTTTGAACTCATATAACTCGAACTCGTTGCTTTTTCGAACTAATTATTTTTTCCTTTGAGGCTTGACTCATGAAATTTAGCCAACTAACTTAAGTTTGAAATGGCGGTGTAACCGGGGTTCTACTGTGGTGGATAATGAAAATTTTGTCAATTGACAATATCAATTTGATTAATTTTATCGCCAAGGATTAATTTTATCGCCAAAGGTTAATTTTATCGCCAAAATAGATAAATTTCTTATCCATATGATTATATTGGTGATTGTTTTTTCTGGATGGTATTTTGGAAAGTTCTTGAGCTAAGTTTTGGAAATAAGTGATGTAAATGTTAAATTAAATTTTAATTTATTTTTAAATGTCCCCTACGGCTAAATTTGATAAAGAACATCCCGTTGAACATACATAGCTTTTTTCTACTGAAATACATAAGATATCAAAAATAAGTATTGCTAACAAAGAATGATAATACTGTTGGAAACACGGCAACATAAAATTGAAAAAAATGAAACAAAATTCGGAAATTCTGGATAAGAAAATTATGATATATTTAGACGTTATCAGCAAAATTAATGCAGAATCGAAGCAATCGGTTTGGATTTGCCGTGTTTAGCTGGAAAGGCAGAAGAAGTCAGAAGTCGGAACTCAGAAGTCGGAAGTCAGAAGTCAGAAGTCAGAAGTCGGAAGTCAGAAGTCAGAAGTCGGAAGTCAGAAGTCAGAAGTCAGAAGTCGGAAGTCAGAAGTCGAGAAGTCGGAAGTCGGAAGTCAGAAGTCAGAAGTCAGAAGTCGGAAGTCGGAAGTCAGAAGTCAGAAGTCAGAAGTCGGAAGTCGGAAGTCAGAAGTCAGAAGTCGGAAGTCAGAAGTCAGAAGTCGGAAGTCAGAAGTCAGAAGTCGGAAGTCGGAAGTCAGAAGTCGGAACTCGGAAGTCGGAACTCGGAAGTCAGAAGTGGCCCTCCTCGGCCATCGTACAATATAGATGTACAATATATAGATGTCCACAAAGAGAGACTTGGAGCAAGTCTACTACCAAGAAAACCTATCATCCGTGCAGGCCCTCTATTCTTCGCGCCGCCCGCAACCCAGGGCCTGTTCGCAGGCTAGTGTAAAATAATATATCTTAGATCGCTCAGTGAAAAGCCGCCATTTTGAAACTGAACTGAATATGTCACTGGAGCACTGGAGCTATCTATCCTTGGAGTTCGGAATAGTCAATAGTGCGCGTGCGTACAAGTGTATGGGCTAATAAACAAACAATGTACCACAAGCATGGCATGAGCCAGCTATTGCGTACATAAATACGAACTTTTTAATGTAGTATATAAATCATGGAACCGAGGTATCGAAGGCATTTTGGCTTAATCGTTGCAGCCTGAGCCTGCGATGAGCTAACGCAAACTCGATTTCTCGACTACGAAAAAACCCCAGGAAAAAACAGAAAAAAGGGATTTAAGGTGGCTCCCTACAGTTATTCTAGTTTAAGCAATAATTCCGTAAAACAGGCTTATTCGTGCAAAACGCGAATTTTTTTCGACTTGGTGGCAAAATTGGTCACCTAAGGAATATTTCGAACTAGATTTCGACGATGTCAATGTTCCCATGGCAACATGACGACAGCATAAAGCCTTCAAATTTAACCCATAAATGTGCCGCTATCTCAAAAACGATGTCGGTGACCTATCTTTTTTATTTCATATATCAATAAGGAATGATCGATGCTCTGCAACTCTGGTGAAAGTTTAAAAAAATTCTGTAGTGTGTGATTTTTCTAAAAGCGAAAAATTTATTGCGAAATTTCCACACTACAGATTTTTTTAAAATTTGAAATTTATAAAATTTACCGCAAAATAAATTCGTGGTCAAAATTTGAAGATAGGTCACCGATGAAACTAACGAGTAAAATGCAAATAAAGTTAGAAAATAGCCTCGTGTAAAGCCCGTTCTCCACTACGCGAATTTGTTCGCGCGACGCGAAGCGAAAACCGAAATCCGGCAACGTGATTGGTCGGCGAAAAAATTCGCGGCGAAAAAGTAGGATCGCTTCCTACTTTTTATCTGTTCGCGCGAATAAATTCGCCTAGTGGAGAACGGGCTTAACTCGAGAAATTCCCCTATTGAAAAGCGTCGCTGACTAGTAAAAGATTGTACGCGGGCGCAGAACGAGTTTTCATTCAGCAAAATCGAGCCGCAATGTTGCTTTTACTGTTTTGTTTTTGTCAACTTTTCGATTTATTTGAGTGCTATGGACAGTCAAGGATTATTGTGAAGGATTAAATCGATGAAAACAAGGTTGAAGCTAATTGAATCCTGCCGTTTACTCAATATATGAGCTGTAACAGCCTATTAACAGGTGGATGTGTTTTTTTTTGTTTCATGTTTGGTTTTGTACTTTTTGCTAAAAATGAACAATTAGGCTATGAAACCGAAATATTTTTCTGTTTACATATAATCACTTTAATCTTGTAGAAACACGACTAAAAACGTGAACGTTTTCTTGAGAAATAAACAACTTTTTAAACGTTTGTATGCAATTTTGCAAATGTTTTACAATTGACAATGTATATTTTAAAAACATTAAAACACATTGTTTCGTAGCTATTTTTTGGTCTAGTGGTATTCGTATCATATGTAGAATTGCTGTATAGACTCGCAAGTAATTTGGCACTCAAAACGAAGTATTATTCAACGCTTTTTCCCATTAGAAACCTTTCAGAAATAACTTTTTTTTAAAAAGAAAATATTATTATTATATAATATTATTAATATTATTATTATATTATATTATTTGCTCCCAGCGGCTACAGAAAGATTATGATCAAGACTTCGCCAATGAACTCATAAGATGTGACGTACTTCTTCTTATTAAATGTCTTCCTTTCAATCACAATTTTTGATAAATAGCATAACATGCATTGGGTTTTTGGATAACTAAGAAACAAAATTTCATTAAACATGTCACTAAGTGGGGGGGGGGGGTAATTAGATATTCGTACCCCCACTCCAAAACCTGGGAGGACGCGTCCCCCCGCCCCATCCCTCCCAGGATTGACGCCCAGTCCATGGCTTCTTGTTGTAGTGATGAATACTCTGATCATACTGACTATATATGCCAAAAAGGCCTATGGAAGTAAATATTGAGAGAGTACGCAAGATGGTTCTGTAACTGTTAACAAAACGGTTGTCAACCAATGAAAATTCTCCATTTGTGCAGCATGCATGTGCCGTTCCCTTTCAGTAATAACCATTCCCGAGTTATGTTGATCTCTGAGATATATTTTCTGCTTAATTACAGTCTCAACAAAGCCAGAGTGGGACAAGTTGTCAGGTATGCTGCTTAATTTACGTTCACTAAAGGTTCCTAAATAAAGGAAAGATGATGGCTATGCTTAAAATCAAGAGTAGAAATCCATTGCAAAAAGTGGATGGGACGAAACCGGCAAACAGACGTAATTTATTGTAGATTACTGATATTATATACGAATGTTCAAAAAAATGAGGGGGGCGACGCGTAATAATCTTTACTCATAAAGGCGAGCTTTAATTTAGTCTTTGAAATATATTCTCAGAAATTTGAGATTTGTCTCTCAAACGTTAGTGACTCATTAGGCATTGATTTTTACACTAATAATCAATTTTGTAAATTTAGCGACATTTCTGAAGTTTAGAAAATTGCCATTGAGTACTGATGAAGCAAAGGCAAGCGGATGGGTTCAAACCGCTTCATGTAAAGGTATAAAACATTTAATGTATAGCCAACAGCTATATTGTTTATAGCCCGCGTGCAGGCCAACCGAGGGAGTTCCCTCGATGGGCCTGCACGCGGGCTATATTGTTTAGAATAGTTTTTAGCTGGGTGTCTGCCAATCTCGTTCCCCGAGCCTGCGATCCTCGGGAAGGAACATGAGGCTCTGGGATAATCCGTTTCAGGGAGGAATCTGATTGGCCGTTGAAATGGAATGTGCAGTTCAATCTTAGCCAGGATTCCTGGCTTCCTGCAACGGATTATCCCAGAGCCTCGCGTTCCTTCCCGAGGATCGCAGGCTTGGGGAACGAGATTGGGTGTCCGCAACAACGATTAGCCAATTACCAGGGCCGCCCAGAGGGGGGGGGGCAAAAGGGGATTGGGCCCCTTTACTTAATACATGATATATGAGCGAATAAAGAACAATTTCGATCTGTGGGTCAGTTCAGTGACCAAACCCAGCTCCGCGGTTGACCTTTACCCGTTTCCGACTATAAGGTATGTGGTCTGACAAATTGGTATAAGTATTAGGCTGTGTGTTGTGACCTCGAAAAGTTCCTAGAAAACGATTTTCATTTAGCATGTATTGGATCTGAAATATATTTATTGGAACTAACACTTTCGAACACGGTGAGTTCAAATCCGAAAAGTTCTCGTTCCGTAGACTCGCAGTTTTCTCACAAACTGCTATTTTATCTTCGCTAATTTCGTAGCAAATGTTTTCATTGTTCAACCAGTTCTACGGCACGGATCGATGACGATACACGATTATGTCACTCAAAAGGACCAACAAAAGACCAGTTTTGCTCGAATCATTTTGAGTTATGTAATCTTATGCGTGTTGGACGCAAACAACATATCTTGTCTACAAGTTTGAGAAGGTACAGATCAGCTCTTTCTAAAATCCTTAGTTCTGGCTTTATATCTCTATAAAATCACAAGGACGCCGTTAATGTTAAGTCTTTGGGCTATGTCTCTGGGCTGAGAAATAAAATAACAAAGTAACAAAGATGTAAATCAGTAATCTTATGTAATGGATCAGCATTTAAATTTCCAACACAGTTTCCGAGACGTAATTCAAGAGGTAACTTATCATTGCATTTGAACTATTACATCAGTTGGTGTTATGCTGTGCGATAAGTGAATATTATTGGAAAGAGGGCCTCCATATACGTTGAAATCACGAAATCCACTTCGTCGTATGTTTACAGAGTTGATTTTATACTTTGGGACTGATCCTTGTCTTTGATATGAACATTTATTCTTATATAGTTTAAGGTTATTTAAGATTGGTCTTGTCGTAGGCTAAGTCTTCTACCAGCAACCCCAATTATTGCATCGACAATATTTCATTTTAGCGTTGTCTTTGCCGTTACGTTAGCTTCGCGTTACTTTTGTTTTAAATACCTTGATCGCGTTAAAAGAGTTATTTTTCAGGCCAGTGACATAGCCAATGACTTAGCATTAACTTCCTTGTGATTTTATAGAGATCTCGCTAGAACTGAGGATTTTAGAGAAAGCGTTATCTGTACCTGCTCAAAGTTGTACTGACTACTGAGACAAGATATGTTGTCTACGTCCAACACGCATAAGATTACATAACTCAAAATGATTCGAGCAAAACAGTCTTTTGATAAAAGGAAGACTGGTTAATAAAACTGATTGGTCCTTTTGAGTGACATAATCGTGTGTCGTCATCGATTCGCGTCGTTGAACAATGAAAAATTTGGGTGAAATTATTGAAGATAAAATAGCAGTTTGTGAGAAAACTGCGGGTCTACGGAGCGGGAACTTTCGGATTTGAACTCAGCGTGCTTGAAAGTGTTCAGTAGTTCCCGTAAAAATATTTCAGATCCAAGACATGCTAAATGAAAGTGAACGATATCGGCCGCAGCGGACGGTCTATACTGTATGTATAGGTTATTTTGTTCGTGCTGCCTTGTGCACCATCAACTTCCTTTTCTTATCCAGACGATGCGTACTTCCGTGGAAACCGTTATATTTTAAACAATGATATTGCAGTCATGCTCTTGTTTGATTCAAAGGGTAAAATTGCCGGCATACAGAATGGCGTAAGTATACACTAGATCTATTTAAAATCCAGCATGATTTGATTCACTGCATATGTGACAACTTTATTGGGACCATTAAATTAAGTATATAATTAATGAGTATATAATGTATTATTAAATATTGGCAGAAAAGCTTTGATTGAGACTATATATGCATGCTGTGAATCCTCGATCATGCAGGATCGCTTATCACATAAGCTCCCTTTGATTACTTTGAAAGGAAGAATCCATCAAGCCCCTCTCCACTACACTTTCTCTCTTTCACAAAAAACAGAGGTGTACTGCATGATAATAATCGTTGATTGGCCTGGAATTTCACACTAGCCCATTGAACATTGCTAAAAAAGTACAATCCCATGCAGTGCCTCTAATGTACGTTTGTGGTGGAGTGCACGAATTTTCCCACAAAAGAGAATGGTCTGAGGCGTTATATTGAACGTGGTTTAGTTGGTGCGGTTTACGCTTCTAATTACAAGAACATATCTCATCTGGTAATATTTCAATGCATCATCTGTATCTAATTTCATAATCTAAAGAGAATATTTACATGTCGTTTTAATGTTGTGATAATGAGGAGTCCGGCAACCCCTACGTTCCACGCCGAGGAAATTCCCTTAACAACTATCAAGTAAAGCTAATAAATCTGACAAAGTAAAGAAATTAGTGAAATAGAGGTAGCTAAACATTCAATCAAATGAATGCCATTATCATGAAACCAATAGCAACCATTATACAGGTATTAGAAATGGAGGTAGCTAAATTATCAAATGAATCCATTATGTGAAACCTATACCAGTCATTACCAGTTCTTATTACCAGCTGCTTATATCTATATATCTTATTTTCCTGGTACATTATACTAGGTTCCAAAATCAGGTGCAACAACTGACTTTTTTAAGAAACCATATTGGGTAGAAGATGGTTCTATGTTAGTTGTTTCAGCGTACTTTGTCGACCCCAAAGTGATTTGTGCTGGAGGAAGAGAGGAGTCTGACTATCTGGGAGATTCCTTGTACATTCAAAATGGAGCTAGCCCTAGCTCAGTTATGGAAATTCCCCTAAAGGAAAAAGATGTCGGAAAAACAAAGTGGGTTAACGGGAAATGTGTTTATGCAATGGGTAAGTTCTATCCACGCGGCCTATCCAGAAACGGTTCGGCATTAGGCAAAAGACAACTTCATCATCATGCACTGAGACCGCATCGTACAAAAGTGTTTTACCCGTGTTTTTACAGGTTTTTGTACGAAAATTTTTTTTGACCTTAATTTAACTTGTCTTTGTCTGGAAATTTTTTTATGACACCCTTTTTTTTGAAATGTCCGGGAAAAAATGTTTTCTATTGCATGAGAGTCCTCCGCACTAGGGCTTAATTAAGTTTATAGTGGTTACAGAACACCTTTGAGTGTTAATTTTGCCTAACGCCTTTTTTTTACTGGTTTCCATGAAAGCATTAGACTGGTTCTACTATCTGACCAAGTTTGAACGAAAAATGTTGAAAACTCGCAAAGTTATTTAATAAAATACATTTCGCTGTAATAAGAAAAACATTGAAAATGTAATATTCAAATTCAATTTTCTCCCGAAGAATTTTACGGCAATTACTGATTTTCAAACGAGTTGTTCTCCTGCGGGTTTTAACGAATTTTTCTCAAATTTTCACAGGACATAGCTACAGACGTCAGTTTCAAAATTGTGTTCGGCTTTTTTCTAATTTTGGATATTTTAATAATAAGGAGCAATTCACTCAAACGATTCCGAAATATATTGCAGTCGTCAAAGAAATTGCCATATCAGCGGAATGACGAAATAAACAAAAATTTCCGAACACAATTTTTTAGAACAACTATTTTATTGTAGGCCTATGAAAATTATATTTTCATAAATATATCTTAAAACCAGCAGGACTGACATAACTCAAAAGCGTAAAGGTACCGCGATTTAAGATTTTCCTGAATAATTCTTATATTATTTTATTGTTTGTCAATTTTACAACTTTACCATATTTTGCATGCACTGGAGAACATTTGGTAAAAATTTGATGAAAATCGGACTGATATTGAGCGCGCAGTAGCAATTTTCCGAAAAACGCCCAAAAGGTATTCTGTAAGTTTAAGATTGCATTGCTATATATTTCTTCTCATCTTCACTTGAACAGGACAGCATTACTGGTATGACATTTCCAAAGGGATGAACTGCGATGACTACTTCCCGGCCTTTTTGCTTTACAATGGTGGCAAACTGAATGCATTTGGTTGGGCAACAATGGGAGATTTCAAGAGCGATCGATATGAGCATCCTCCAAGCTTTGCACTAGGGGTGACTATATTTAAATTTAATTTTCATTATTTTGGGCTTCTATAAGTTTAAACAACAGGTATTAACGTGCATGTATTTCATTGATGATTTCAACTTAATTTTAACACGGTGGTCATTTATGTTTGGTGATAACGCACCGTACTCTCGCGCTTGGATTATCCGCCATTTCTAGGTCTACGAAATGCAAATGCTTATATAAGTGCCAGTTGTGCGTACAATGCTAAACTTTGAAAAGTCGCTTTTCACATTGTTTTAATAGCCTAGATTCTTTTACGAGAGGAAGACACTATACCCATTGAACTGAATATAACTGGAACGCTACCTCCAACCAGAAATTTGAAGCCAAACTTGAAGGCCAGTCCCATGCAGTCTTTTCACGCATGCGAAGAGCATTCAATTAATCTATCATGATATAAACACGCGGGTCTGGGGGTCAGATTTTGGTTTCAAGAAATCGATAGGCAGTTTATCTGAAGTTATAGCGTTCCAGTTACCGATTCATTTTAATGATACTACCCGGCCACAAATGGCGGATATAATCGGCCCGCGTGAAAACACCTGTAGACACCTGGTAGACCGTGGACCTATTAAAGCGTTGTAATTAGAGAAAACTATGCAATCAATTACCCATTTTAAAAATTGCACGAAGTTCAATAAAATTTTGACTGCTTTTTGTGCGAACTTTTAAAATGGATCGAAATTAAGTATTATACTGTATACAGCCTTATACTTGCATATATGTAGCTTCGTCAAAACGGTTTGCGGTACTCTTCAATTTGAGCGGAAAGTGAACTTAAAGTTTTGTCAATTAGCAGGACTTTAATTAATATCAGTCGTTATTTCCTTTTTCGTTGATTATTAATGATTTACAGTCAATCAAAGTTTACATGATATGAACATGCAAAAGAATGATTATCATCATGATTGTCTTAGCGTAAGAAGATCTAAATATACAGGTTGTCCACGTCGTCTGCAAGTCACTCAGTTGTGACGAATACCTTCCCCATGTAAATTAATTAAATTGAACTCCATTGACATCCTATATCTGGATCTTTGTTCACGAACCCACCATATGATGACAACCTTTCTTACATGCACTGCAGTTATATTTCAAACCAGTCTACTTGTAATTAACTCCAGAATTAGTGAGATTTAGAGGGAAATTGTAGTATCTTTCAGAGGAGTCAAATGGGAACTGGAATTTGCGTATTTTTGGACTGGAAAAATGAGATTTGGGTTACTGGGACTGGGAATGAAATATTGAAATACACAAATACCATTAAAACGACAGTTGTAGTTGGACATTTTAGAGTGAAATAACTTTATGAACAGCTACAGAGCAATTTTTGATTGAGAATTTGTCTGTAAAAGTCCAGGGAAAACCGACTTATGGCTCAATGAGGTCATTTTTCTGCTATTCGGTAAGTCAGTCGTATACCTTTTTCTTGGCAAAACCATAGTTCTAAAGAGGACAATTGAACACAGAATTGTGTTAAAAGTCATCACATAGATGAACTGTCTACCTGCTCTGGGATTTTCTGTAAATTTCACAGTGGGACTGGGATTTGATATAAAAAAGGGCTGGGAAATGGGATTTAGAGAAAAGGTGTGAGTGTCCTGCATGTTATACCCAGGACCAACATGTTAGTTGGCTACTTGGCCTACGTTAAAAATTGAATAGCGATTCTCTAAGCGAATAATCTTGACCAAGATAAAGGATCGAACAATCCAGTTTCACCAAAATACATTTTTATTCCGTTTTATAGGGTTTCTTCCAGAAGGCCACCATGCCAACATGCATTTCGAAAGTTCCGAAGTTGTCAACGATTCACATTTACTTACAACACCGTCCTTATTTTAACCTGTGTTGATACAGACCGTATACTGCATGTAATGTTCTTAATTTGCTTGAAATAAAATATGAATGTTAACATCCTTTATCAAAATATGGAATTCTAAAATATAAACTACCTATACCTACCTTGCTACCTAAAATGTTTATAAAATCTATCCAAAAAAGGGGATATGGCATTACATATGCAGAGTATACTGCAGAGAATAATTCGCCGTCACAGTTTCTTCCACCGCCGGTAAAAATGAGCACTTTCTCCGCAAATGGCAAACCCATTCTGATGTGTGCACTATTGAAAATCAGTTTTTTAAAAAGGCCCTGTTCTCGACTATTTGCGATCGTTGCTTATTATAGTATTGCTTGTTCCAACCATAGCCTATCGAAGGGGAGATGGCTATGAAACTCATTAGAATGATAGTATAACTCATTATCTATGGTAGTCAACGTTAGTCAACGTTTATTCATAAATCTGGTCCTTCACCGTCATGTGCATGTGTTGTATTTGTGCGGCAAATCCACCAATAGCAATTTCCAATTTCCCTATTGTTCGAGTCACGGATATGTAACTTTCCTAAAACATTACTATAGGTTAGTTGGGCAAAAATACAATACACACGTGCACGTGACAGTGAAGGACCATATTTATGAATAAACGTCGACCAACATAGAGTAATGAGTTAAGACGGATTTCCATTCAGTGCAGAATGTCGCACGATCGATTTTTTGCGATCGCTTTCTTTTGAAATGTGCGCAGTTAACTACAGCTAATGAGATTTGTTCCGCTTGACTGTTTGTATTTGAAAAGAAAGCGATCGCAAAAGTCGATCGCGTAACATTTTGCACTGAATGGAAATCCGCCTTTATATTGTTATTGTAATGAGTTTCACAGCCATCTCCCCTTCGATAGGCTATATGTTCCAACGTTTTATCAGAATCACTATTAAAATCATTCCATTGGCTATATATATATATATATATATATATATATATATATATATATATATATATAGCTTAAGATTTTGGTTTACGTAACACAAACTGTGCTCAATACCATATAGATAGAGCGTAATATAGTTTTTCGTTTTACCTCAAAAAACCACAACAGTCTGTTTCATCCGTATAGGAATCATCAGGTGGTCAAACCACCTGATGATTCCTATAACAAACAGACTGTTGTGGTTTTTTGAGGTAAAACGAAAAACTATATATATATATATATATATATATATATATATATATATATATATATATATATATATATATATATATATATATATATATATATATATATATATTGATGGATATTAGTTTTTACATCTTAACGGTGTAGTTATGTTGTATAGATATTCCTTATGGTTGGTATATCTGGAACTGTGTGAACCAAACAGCGACGTCTGAATGACAATTGAACAATGGGACAGTTTAATAGCACTTATGAAATAGCACTTGTAGCATTACATCGAGGCGAACTTAACAGTTCGTTATTGTTCTTGAGAATAATAACTACATTTATACGATATATTTTACCCAAAGTCAAGCAGAACACTAGACGAGCAACTGCTCGCTGTTTCACTTTCCGTTTTCAACCTAAGACAAGTTTGGAGTTCTTTACATCACTTTAATATTCTTCTCGGTCCAAAGCTCCTCGACTGTAGCGTTGTTAATCTTAGGGAGCGGTCATTAAGTGTGTGTAATGGGGGGGGGTGGAGGCTATTTATAAAATTTGGAAAATAGTTCATGCCCAACACATCCATTCAAGAAACTACGTTGCATCCCCTCAAATAATCGGAAAAAATTTCATACCCCTCCTTGAAATGTTAATATCAAGAGGGGTATGAAGTAAAAGATACATCCTGCAACATGTTACTGGTGTCATCTATTCAAATAATTTTTTTGATACTGTTCTGTGTTGTGCATTTAAATTCTGATACCCGATATTGACTTGGGAAAGGTTTTGGGAAAGTGTGCACTTTTATAACATTTTATTCTGCCATTCTGGCCGATTGTTTTACTCTTGAAATTGTTTTACTCTCCAGAGTTCAACGGTGCATGGTAGCTGACAGAATGTCTGCTTCCCCCAGTTTCTCTTGACGCGCTACAAATGTAAGTTCTGTTTGTTTCGGATGTTGTAGCTGTGGATGTCAGACGAGTGCTTGATGTTCAATTTAAAGTCAACGTTTTCGTTTAAGAACACTTGTACATGATGAGGCAACGATGAAAGTGTCTACGAATTGATAGCGGCAATGATTTTTGTATACGTGGCTTTATTGTGAAGGATTTGCAGATGATCCATACGGAGAGAGTTGTTTTATCATCCCATGCAACTAAAATCATCATTTGAATAGAGAAAATTTCTCTATTAGACTCTGATCTCTGGTTGGTTTCTACCTTTCGGCACCTATTCAAATTAATCGTATACCGTTCTGGATGAAAGCCCTTTCTATAGAGCTACTTATAATTAAAATCAACATCGGCTATAGCTTCATTCAAACGTGTGCGATTCACAAGCGCAACGACAGACATAATTAAGCTTCAAAATATGCTTTACATGCAAGTGTATGCCCCCGATGGTTGTGGTGTTGTTCACTAGACACTGCCGTTTGTTTTTAACAAATCAAAGCAGCATGATTGGCATGGAAACCGAGGATAAAGATTTTCTATCATAAATGCTTGACCACTGTGAGGAACAATTATACTCAAGATTCCATGCATTCATTACTCTAATATACTGAAGTGCGTTGGTTTTCCTGTGGTATATAAAGGCATTCATTATACTATATATCGAATTTCTTCTGACTTGAAGGGAAACTTTTACTTTACATCATCAGCTGTAACTAAGGAAAGGTAGGGCATAATGAATGACTATATTGTATTTTACTAATTTTCGCTTGGTATAGTGACAAGTAAATCCTTCGTGACAAGGGTTCGATTTCTGCCAGTTTGCTACGCCTACGATAGAGTGATAAAACATTTATATTTAAGTCGCTGTATTTACAAGATTGGAAGATTTAGAATAAGACTCTCCAATAAACAACATGTACTTTTAATTTGATGTATACGTTATTGGAGAGGGAGAGAACCCCAAATTTAGCGACGTTTAGACTTATTAAATTGATTCCGTGCATATAATGTTATGACAAATGATAATTATATAACTTGATCTATGACTCAGGGGTGTTTGCACTGCAGTGAACCCCTACATGAAGGAGTAGCCCTATACCAGTAGCGCTTATCGCTATATGCAGGGTTCATCTCGTGTTTACATGAGAAAAATCAGCCCTCTTGTTATAGGTCTGGTTCGCTTTCACGACCAGCATGAAATGTCTTCCCAAAATCATATTTTGCCGAGCAAATTTTTGAATTTGAATATTAGCTAATAGACAATTGAATATTGTTCTAGAGCTAAATACTTAAATTGAAAATTTCGAAAACCGTTTGACACAAATACGGCCGGTCTTCTACTCAGCCCATCAGTGACTCAGCCCTTTACTTATATAGAAGGTCAACCCTCCCTGTTGTGCATGTTTGTATACGAGAAATTTCCAGTCCTGTACTTGATTGGCGAGATCTCGCGGGTAGTCAATATAGCGACAGATCCCGCGTATAGGAGTGGCAACCCACATTTAAGATCTTGAAGGAATGTTTGTATATAGTTTGGTCACTGAGTTCTAATTACATCCTCTAATTACATCACAAAGACTTTTTTGTCATCTGAACTTTAGCGTAAAGGGTAAACCGAAAACTAATAATTCAGACCAAACCAATGGTCAAACTTTACTTGCTTAAATAAAATCTTCAGTCTTTATTTTGTTTCACTCATAGATCATATAGACGATCCAGGCCAGATTTAAAATGTCCAATATACGAATTGTTTTTGCTTTGACCTGTTTAATGATCTGGAGCGTGCAAGTGAACGTGTTTGTTTTAGGCGTAGGTAAGTACGTCCAGTGTATCGTATAGCCTCACGTAGTTATTTGATTTATATCAACTTTACAACTTACAGTTTATTTCTATCACGTGTTTTACTATGTGTTTGGTATCGTGATACTTATTTTGTAAACTTTGAAACTGGGCTTATTGAATTGGATCAATATAATTTAGATATACATTTTAATTTGAAAACAAAATACAATATATTTTAAGTACTATTTACAACATGAGCGGCCGTGTTGTATCGAATACAAACTCGGGCCGAAATAAATGGCTTGTGAAACGTCTTGATGAGAACATTCGTATTATTCAACAATTAATTTAAAATAAATGGATAATATTTGATGAGAAAATTGAACTTAAAGTATATGTAAATCAGCATGGTTCTGTATCAGATATCCAAACTCCTTCACGCTCGTGATTTCTTTTGTGTTTTTTTTCATGAATTATTAATGTGTTCGCAACATATATAAATTAATACTTAATACATTTTGTAATGTCCGATGACAGTATACAGCTCTTTTAAAATGCTATTATAGCAGAGTCGTCAAGGTTCATATTAACTGTTCTTCTTTGTTCGACTTAACCATGATTGTTAATTTCAGGTATACAAGTAGATCGATATATATCCTTCTGTCCGTCCCTATATAGCTAGTCTTGTTTTTCCGTAAACTCAATGTTTCCTGAGACCATGGCCAAGTCGAAGCAGATCAGCAGATCGAGAGAGAGTAAACATTCAAAAGTCCTTCGCTGCAAGTTCGTCCGCAAATGGTTCCTCCCAGCACTCCTAGCTCGGAGCCAGAACCAGACTGCACTAAGTGATTTTTTGTTGTATATTGACAAAGAAAGAATAAACATTACAACATGCACCAAACAATTCCATTTCATGCGTTCAAAGAAGCATTTCATTTCCTGTTACTTGTTGTGTATTTTTCTTCTTTATTAGACACCATATTCTTTCGATAGACGCTATTTCTAAATTTTCGAATTTGGCCTCATTTTGTTTATTTATGTACGTACTGGTTGGCGGGGACAACAATATTCCACTTGTTACCTGGTGGGATACATTGCATCAGCGCCCTGATTGCATTTATCTGTAGCCACGTGTCCATGCACGAACTATAGCCACAGGGTTAAAGAGGCAGTGTCACGGTTCTACTGCGCATCCAAAATATGCGCGAACTTGAAAAACTGTCTGCCAACAATTAATCAATTTAGGAGTGAAATACGATATACTATTTATAATCCCTTCGTTATGCAGGACATCCTCGCTTTGTTTTAAAAATTGAAGGCTGCTGC